ACAGAACAGTAATGTGAAGATGCTGCATCACAGAAAACCAGGGGTGTTTTTCAAGCAAAGGCAAAGCAGCTTTAGTTTGCATATGTTCAGAAGCCACTGAACCAGGCTGGCTTTCCTTACAATAGTTGAGATGTCTTTGAGAGGCCTACTAACTTCTACAGAATAGGTGACAGCACCTGTATGACTCATGGTGATGTGCATTTTTGCTTACAGGAGCTTCTGAGACCTGACATCAGACTATTTTTGGTTCACTTTTGGGCTATTTCCTTATTCACCCACGTGAAACATTAAAGTGAATGAAAGTCTCCCCCCTCTTTCTCTCTCTTTTTCTTTTTTTTTGACATGACCTCAACTCACTGAGTCTAGGCCAGTGCTATTGTTAGCACTACATCATTGAATGACATTCACAACACTTTCTATCTTAAAAGCAGGTGTATTTTTGACAATCTAGACCTAGAACAAACTCTTCCAGAACCTCACAGCCCTGGACACGTAATTTTCCATCCTAACTGTATTTATGACCATTTTATATCCATCTGCTCCTCAGCTTATTTCTCCTTGCTGGTTCTTACTGTATGATGTATTTATGGACATCCATCATAACCCCGTATTTCTACTGGATTAAAAAAGCAAAAGTCTTTTACTCTCCTTTTGTAAAGTAAGTCATCTATTTCTCTGAGCATCCACCCAGCTCAATTCTGCACCTTTTGAACTGTGATCCATCCTGGCTTCCTTCCTCCCAGTTGCAAAATCCTGTGGGACTGTCCTGGTCCTCCAGTACACTGAAATCCCCCTCCCTGGCCCCTACATGGAGCTTAACCAGACTTACAGGTAATGAGCAGTTACAGGTGACTCTTACACGCCATGCCACTGCATCTCACTCCAACTCTTCAGTACTCTGCTGCTCAAGGTGTCCCATCTTGCTGTGAAACACTCTGTTCTTCCACCAGATGGCCAATATTTACCACTTCTCTCTCCTGTATGTATCTGAGAAATGGTCACACTTCCATCATGATTCAGGAAAGTGTTAAACCAGATTAGTTTTGAAAGCGATGTACTGAAAAGCCAATGCCAGCCTCCATCACTGCGGCCCACCACCATCTCCAGCCCCATCACCGCTCTGCTCACTACGGGAACAGAAAAACAGACAAAACGGGGCAGACCACAGGTCTGCAGTGCCCACAGGGCTGGCACAGCTGACGTGCAGCAGCCAGCACAGCTTACAGCAGCACCTGCCCACAGAGCTACCACATCCTACTGACAGATCTTCAATTTTTCGGTCACAAATTCCCCCAAATGCTTTCCAAACCTATTTAAACTTTCTGCTGTTGAGAACAACATTTACTTCCAGATGACTTGCTGGTGAAGCCAGAAATTCGGCCTGTGATGTTACTTCAGATGTTTAATGAATGAGATCTAGTTTCAGTCAATCTGCAGCTCTCAGAAGAGGACATTACAGCAGATCTCATCAGCAGAAGGCTACGATTTAAGTCTAGTGTGACCTACTTTGGTGGTATCACATGCATTTTTCATTTATCTGTATGTTTTTCCTTCTACATCAGTTGTAGTAAATTGCCTATTGCTGAAATTCATGTTGAAGGAGACTGGCATGGGGGATGCAGAGCATGGAAAATTCCACCCCTCACATTCAGCGCTTTTTTCCTCCCAGAGATCACCCACATTTGGCAGGTTTGTGAAAAAAAAAAAAAGGGAACAGATCTGGGATTTGAGAGCTCTCCCAGGACACCAGGAGGGAGATGGGCTCAGGCTTCCCTCGGCTGCCCAGCGCTGCCCTCCATCTCCCTTACTGACACCTGGCACAAAACAAGTATTTAATTCTGGGACCACTCTAACACATTTTCTTTTCTATCTCATCTGTACTTGCACAAAAAAAGATCCTTTTACTATCTATGCATTACCATTTGCAACTGAGCTGCACCAACTGGTGAACTCTCCCTGTTCTTACACTTCCTGACATGCTGGGGTTTTTCCATCCCCTAAAGACTCTCTGCTTACTGCACAAAGCCTTCCTGAGGCAGTTATTTGTCCAAAGGATTACCAAGCCCCTCCTGTGTGCACCCTTCTGGCTTGCTCAGGATGCAGATTTCTTTTGGGTACAGAAGCTGGGGTTTGGGACAAGCTGCAGCTTGCAGCCAGCTGAGGACTTTCCACCTCCAGATCTGACAACCACATGGGTCACAGAAACAGCAATAGCTTTCAGCCACCTCAATGAAATTCTTGGCTCCAACATTCCCACACCACTTCATGTGCTTATGTGCCTCCCCATACACAAAAACACCACGTTTTAGTTAAAAAGCCTGCTTATCACATCCACAAACTGAACTACTGATCTAATTTTGCTCGTTCTTCCATTTATTTTAAGCTGAATCGCAGCTTTAGCCTTGACTGCCTTTCCAACAAGCTCACCTGCAGTCTAGAACAGCCTCACCAATCACTGGGTGTCATCCTTTGATTAGGAAAAGCAACACAGCTCTCATGGCTACAACCACCTCACCCCTCTCATCAGTAGCAATTGTTCTGCAAGCATACCTGGTTACTTGAAGTGTCCCTAACAAGAAAACCAACTAGAAATGATTCTTTTTATTATGAAAAATCTTCTTCGTAGGCCAATTTAACTAGAAAATCCTCAGCAAGTACAACAGAACTTCGTTACATTACATCACTGTGATCAATCGGAAATGATCTGAAATCTGAAGTACTGCATCTGGCTGCTCCTGTTGAAAGAGAAGCTCACCTTCACCCATCAGCATTCAAAATCTTCCAGGCTATTTGCAGTCTCGCCCTGTGGCACCAAGCAGGAGGCTGCTTCGGCCTCGTGTCTTACTGACACTGCACTGCCCAGCTGCAGGCATTGAGTGCCTCCAGATAAAGGCTTGAGACTGAGGAGGGCAGAAGAGATTCAGCACATTTTAAGGCCAATCATCCTTCCAGCATATTATCACATGAGCTTAAAAAAAAGTACCATCAAAAGAACAGATGAGGCAGCACTTATCTGAAGATTATTACTCTGAGTCTCAAGCCAAATCTGCATCTCACTTCCACTAAGCCTTGTTGTTTTCTCCCTGTTTTCTAGTTGTACGCTTGCCAGTAAAGTGCAAAAGGTTAAAATTTACAGTGATTTTATTATACCAACTTTTAAATGATTACAGATGAAGTCAGCAGCTTTCTGCTTCTATGTTTATTGCCCTGCCAAAAAAAACCAGATGCAACGATGTCCTGTGCAACCAACACAAGCACAATGCACATCTCAAGGAACAGGCTGGATTTCGTGGGCTACAAGCTTTCTCTTTTCTTTCCCCAGTTTTGCAGCAGTTTATGCCACCGTGGAAAAACCAGGGCAGGTTCCTAAGTTTTGCCATAGAAACATTATCACATAGAATGGCTGAGGCTGGAAAGGACCTTAAAGACCGTTCAGTCCCAACCCCTGCCATGGGCTGGTTCTCCCCACCAGCTCAAGTTGCCCAGGGCCCATCCAACCTGGCCTTGAGCACCTCCAGGGATGGGGCACCACAGCTCTCTGGGCAGCTGTGCCAGGGCCTCACTGCCCTCTGAGCAAAGGATTTTCTCCTAACATCCAATCTACATCTCCCTTCTTTTAGTTTAAAACCACCCTCTCCCGTCCTATTACCTATATCCTCCCTAATTACTGAAAAACACCTAATTAGGGAAAGTTTCCTGTTACCTTGACTGTAAATCCTACTCCTACCCCCCAGTATCAAAGCAGCACACAAAACCAGCCCTACCCAGCACGGCGTGAGTGCAGCTTCCAAAAACCAACAGCAACTTAATCATTTTTATTTAATTTCAGACATGCCAGCGCTGCCAAGCACCACTTTATTTGTCAACAAAACGTTTTGATGATCTGGCAGAAGGCAGCACACTCCCTCCCCACTTTCTCCACATATTTGGCACTGCTTAAGGCAGGTCTGAAGCTGTTCTGGGCTTAAACCCCACTCCTTTCTTCGTGTCACCGCTGCCCCAAAGGCAGCGCTGCAGCCCGGGGGGTTCGGCCCTGCCAGGAAATGGTTAAGCCGCCGATGTGCGGCTCTGATCCATCGCATTTCTCGCAGGCTGAGCTCAGAGCCCAGCACCGAGTATCAGCCGTAACATGATCCAAGAGTTTATGGAAAAAATAACCGCGCATACCAAGCACGCACATTTAATAAGATTTTCTTTCCATTCAAACAGCCTAGAAACATGATTTTTGAGATCGGCTTCGCCCTCCGACCGGGCTCTAACATCTCTCCTCCCCCTCCCCTAACACACACCTCCTGTCCAAAAACCAAACCCTTGGAAAAAAAAAAAAAGCAAAAAAGAGCGCTCGTACTGCAGGGAAGAGAGGCTGGAAAAACAACTTTGATTGGCACTTGGCCTGACCCACAGAGGAAGAAAAACAGATTTTGGACAAAGAGCGCAAATATTTGAGCTCGCTGACTTCGAGACTTTCTCAGCCTTTCGGAAGACGAAGCCGGAGCGGATTGAATCGCAGTCTCTCCCGGGCTCGGGGCGGTCGCGTTTGCACAGCTCAGCGCTTTTAATTCATTGGCGCAGCGCAACCGGAGCGCAACTCGCCGGGGCGGCGGAGCGGGGCGGCACAGCGTGGGGCGGCGGAGCTGCTCGGAACGGGGCTGAGCTCAGCGCACGGAGCGCGGCTGCGGAAGGCCTTTTTGGAGTGATTTCGTGTATTTTTTTACAGCATTGATTCCCAGAGCTCCTCGCCCTCGAAAAGGTGTTGGGGACGAACTCCCGAGTTCGTAAGCAGCCCCACGGCGACCCCGGGGCGGCACCGCCTGTCCCCCGACACTCCCACCCCGCTGCCTTCACCCCTAATTCCCGGTCCCGAGCCCTCACCCTGCGCCCATTTCGCCCTCCCCCCTCCACGGCTGTCTGCACCCCACGGCCCCACTCCGACCCCCCGAACCTTCAGCATCCAACACCCCCCGCTGCCCCTCCGCACTCACGGCCGTGCCCCCCGCTACCTGTCTCGGCACCTTCCGGCAATTGCCGCACACCCTGTACTGGCCGGCGGCGGATGCAGCGCCGCCGCCGCCGCCGATGGAGCCGGCGCTGAGCCTGTTCATGCTGCCGGGGCCGGGCCGGGGTGCGGCGGGGACCGAGGCTCGGCTGTGCTGGGCTCCGTGCCGCTCAGCAGCCCGCGCCGCCGGCCGCCCCCATCCTCCAGCCGCGGCCCCAGCTCCCCGCTCCGGGCCGCTGCCCCCCGAGCACACACCCCTGCGCGCTCCACCAATCCGCGCCTCCCGCCCCGCCCACCGCTACGCCGACCGACCAATCACGAGAGCCACACGCCGGCGACCAATGGGGAGAGCTTTTGCCGGCTCCCATCTCCGGGCAAGCTGAGATAAGGGGCGGGGAAAAGGGCGGGACCGGCGCGGCAGAGGGGCGGGGCCAGCCGCGTCTCTGGGCAGCGTTGGGCAGAGAGGCGGGGTCAGCGCGTCGGCGCGTGTCCTCTGCTGGCCAATCGGGTGCCTATGCAAATAGGCGCGGGAAGCCCCGCCCCCGGGGCTGTGAGGGAGTGGCGGTGGTGGCCGGGGGGGGAGGGGGCGGTTTGGGCTGCGTGTGTTCGGCCGCCGCACGGTACCGAGCCGGGACCAGGATCGGCCCCGCTTCGCGACCTGCAGCGAGCAGCCCGAAAGGCACAGGGAGCGAGGGCCGGGAGCTGGATGGCGCTGTGGAGGCCTGAGGCGAGGGCTGAGCCTCCCTTGGCCGCCTTCGGCGAGCTTCGGCTCGGCTCTCCGCGTTGGGAGAAGCGATGAGTCAGGTTTTCTCGGCTCCATGCTAATGCACGGTGATGGAGGGTGTCATCAGCAGAGCGGCAGGGCCGCGATCTGCGGCGCAAGGCAGCCGGGCTACGCGCCTCCTCTGCGCCTCGGACCAGCGCTGAGGTTCCTGGTCCGCGTGCTCTTCCAGCCCCAGCGGTGTGCGTGCAGGCTTTGGCGTCTGTGTGTGAAACGCTGCGTGGCGTCATTCTGATGTTGAAAGATTACAGTAAGAAGGATTGGATTTGGTCGTGGAAGCTGAATATCACGGCTCCCCAAATCTGTAAGAAGACTTAGGGTGTTGCATACCGCGTTCTCGACATTTCTCCTGTCCAAGTAATTGTAAATGGCCCGCCTGAGAGCTGTGATCTGCTTTGTGTGCCTTCATCCATTAGAATACCTCCTGTTTTTGCAAAGCCACGTGTTGTGTCATTTAGACGACTGGCTGAGCTAAAAAGGGCACAGTGAAATTAGTAATTTACATCTTTTGAACCCAGCTCTGGTTGTTTTCAAGAACTACTGAAAAGTTTCTTGGCAAACTTCTCCACCAAAGTAAAACCACAGCCACTGCCATCTTGCCCCTTCCAGCAGCTTCTGAAGGAATCTTTACCTCAAACAGAGCTGTCGGCAGCAGTGAGGACTGCCACTCGTCACTCATTTCAGTGTGGAAAGCACTCAGACACAGCAACAGGGAACAGAACGCAGCACTCACAGAGAAATAAATACAAGAGGTTTTTATTCCCCAAGCAGAATGGTAGAAATGGGATCCTAATGTGAGAAAGCACTGCTTGCTGGAGTGCAGGTAGTTGCTGTGCCATGTTTGTATCCCACATGCTGCAGCATGGTGCTACTAGCACTGAAAAGACAGTGGGAAGCCAGACAGATTAGTTTCCATCAGCTAATCTGCATGTAATGCTAAAATGTAAGTAAACAACATGAATGATGTAAACGGCTTTTTATTTATTGCCTAGGTCTATGATGTTATCTGAAATGAGAAGCTTTAGAACAAGCAGTAGAGGATCAGGGTTATAGCCGTGAGCAGCAGCTGATTCTTTAGCACAAGTAAGATCCATTGGAGTCATTTGCTGTCAAAGGGCCTGCTTCAGAACTCAACCTGTTGATATGGACAGGAGCAGGCAAGCTTGAAACACAAGTAAGATAATGGTTTTAATTGGGCTAATATTTAGCACCGAGTACTGGCAAATAGTCAGATTTCTTGAATAATATTCATTTATTTTATTCTGACAGTGACAAGTACCCATGACTAGACATCCTCAGAAATATGGTTGTGTCCTGTTCCTCTCCACTACAATTATTCCCAGTTGGGGTGACCACTTCAGACCTTTAGCAAAGCCCATTACAAAAGGGAACATTTTCTATTAACCAAGTGAGTGTTAAAGTAAAGCTGACGTGTAAGGCAACTTACAATTGGAGAAATTTGATATCTAGTCTCTGTTCTGCCACAAACTTCTTGTGAGAGGAGGTGGGAAGTACTGGCCCAGATGCCTGAAGTACTCTGTGAACTACCTCCCTTAAAATAAATACCTTTGTGGGTCCCAGGCTTGCCATTCAGTTCTTCAATGTCTGAGAACTCTCAAGAGAAACATACACTTTGTGTTTCATTGTTTCTGGTAACAATACAGCAAGTAGAAGTCGGCTAACATTCTTTCCTGCAACCCCCTCCTCCCCCCAACAAATTCTCTTATATGTTTTCTGAAATTCTTTTTTTTTTTTTTCTTCTCTTTTCTTTTTATAATCAGTTTTGATACCTAATGGAAGTGAAAAAAGTACTTAACTGGGCCAGATGCAGTGCATATCCAGTATCAGTATTAAATAATTTATCGACCAGAGACAATTTAAAAATAAAAAAGTCCAGATACCAGAGGTCTTTGTCTAGATGCAGTATTTCAGAATGAGTTGTTGGGATCCCCATGGCACTGATCATGTAAAATGCTGTGTATGTGCTTAACTTAGGCCATCTGCAAGGCCCCAGTGCCTGACAAGGCATGTGCATTGTGTGACTGAATTTAAGCCCTTGGCTTGTTCCATTTCAAGTTAAACAAATGTGTAAAAGTCTTTGCACAAGCTGTCTTTGTGAATATAGCCACATTCCTGAAAGTTCTTGTATATTTATTTCACAAAAGAAATATTACAAAAAGTATCTGGTGCTCCCTTCACAATTGCCTGTTAGCTTCTGTGATCCAACTGTACCTTAGTTGTTGTGTACTGCTGTGTTTCCTTCAGTTTCTGTCCAGTTACTGAATGGTAAAAGAAAGCAGAATCTGAAATTACCTCATAATTTAGTTACCAGCAGCCTGGCACCTTGACCTGCCCAGAAATGTTAAGAAGGTGGTGAATTCTATAAACGCAACCAGTCTTCTCTGCTGCGGTCACACAAAGAGGCTGCTGGTTATTGCCACGGATGGGAAAGGGGGAGAATTTTTGTATCAGTGGCATGCATCATACTGGCTTGAGACCATCACATCCCTGCAGACAGATCACTGACCTGCCAAGACAGACTGGCTTAAGTGGTTAATGGTTTAAGCAGAATTTTATCATCGATGATTGAAACTTTTGTGAAGTTTTACTTACTACTGAAGAGTAATACTAATTGATAAGAGAGGAACACGCTTCCAAAGGAAAATAGGGTTTTCTCTGCCTTCTCAAGCATTTGGGTGCAATCTTGAGAGACACATTACAGCCAGGCACTGGTTTCTGTGCTCACCATAGGAGTAACTGGATGAGATGTGACAGTTGGAGTTCACCTAATGCTTTATTCAGCCTTTGAGCTGGTTCAAACCAATCAGCTAAAAGATGTAGCCCATCAAAACACTAAGCTGTCTTCACCCCCAGTAATGAGTGCCTACACCATGGTGGGACACCAGCTTTTGAACTCACTTGGTGGCTGTAATATTTCTGCCTAGACTTTCCTAATGAGCAAGTTGAGAGTGGTGCGGTGCATCTTTACTGCCTTCTAGAAAGCATTGCCCCCAACAGTCATCAGCTGAAAGCCAATCTGCCCACACAAGCTAAGACAGAAGATGCTGTGTAGATGGACTGTGTCCTGGAAAAATCCACCTGGCCATGGTGTGCATGCATATGCTACTGGAGTGCTCAGTAGGTCCATATCTGTTCTTCCTATGATGCAAACCTCCTGTAGAAGGGCACAGTTCCTTCACTGTCCATACATAAATGCAAAAGCTTGATGCTTCCTGAAAAGGTCGGATTGAGAAGATCAGTGCTATAAAACTGAACTAGTTATGCAATAGATGTGTTTGCAATTCAAAGACCTCTGGCAGCCCAGGGAGAAAGGAAAAGAGGGGGCAACTGCAATGCAGTAACTCAGACTGGACTGCTACAAGACTAGATATTTCATAAGAAATTAAAAGATCCTCAAATTTTATTCATAAAAAAAAAAACTTCAGAAGCAGAAAAAGAGGATATGTGAGTACCTAACTGGAGACTTACCCACTCTCCCCATCTGACTGCCACTAAAAAGCCCTGTTCAAATGTCAGATGGGTGACTGACATGCTACATGCCTTTCATTTCTTGAGTCCATGAATCATTCAGCAGAGCCATATGAAACACGGATAGATAGGAAAACTGATATGGTTTCTCAAAGGTCAGAAAAACCAGCACGTTACCAGCATGTCAAACAAGTGACAGTCCTGCATTCATTACACCAGGCTTGGTGCACCATTTTAGCATTGTCTGCACAGGACTTTTATTGTGTTCTTAGAGGAAGGAAGGGCAGCAGATAAAGTTTGTGCCCTGACACTACAAAATGACTTCCCATCCTCAAAATCACACACACACATTTTGCAAAATGAGTGTTCAGATAATTACATGAGAAGGCGAGATGTCAGTTTGTGGAATTCTTCCTCGAGGGTGGGGGCACACACCTTTTCATTAGCAGCATTTAAACCCTGACTAGATAAAGCACTCTAAATTATGTTTATCGTATGAAACAATTACAGCCTGTCCAGCAGAGCTGAGCTTGCCAACCTAATAGGCTTTTTTAATATCTAATTTCTTGGACAAATATGTAGTTCTAAAAAACATTACATCACTACCCAACCAAGAAATCCTTTCTCTCTCTATGTTTTTCTGAGGTTTGCATGATAATTCACTAAATACATTTCAGCATGTTGTTTACTTCAGCTCAGCCTTCTGAGACCACACAGGCCAGTGCTGAGACAGTAAATAGGGATCATCTAGAAAAAAAACAACAGGTTATGCTTCAAGTTGACCTGGGAAATATTCAGGTTCACTTTGGAAGTGTTTGGGGCCATACAGTTTTGGGGGGTGATACATTGGAGAAATGCATTAATTGAAAGAAAATCCAAAAAGCAGGACGCAGGTAGCCTTGTTAGTGGTCTTCCTCCTGATTCAGAATTATAAATATCTCTTGTAATGTATTCTTGTAGATGTGAATCCCATGAGCAAATGAACCCAGGATTTGAGGTGTGCACAACAACTGCTGACTCATCAGGATTTTGTCACTTCCCTGAAGATGTTGCTGGCTGTTGGCTTCAGATCTCAGGTATCCCTCATTTAAGAACTCCCTATTTTGCCTCAATCCCTCCTGTGGCAGCAAGGCAGCTGAGGAGCCAAGAGTTCAAAAGTCGAAGGGCCAAAAAGAGGGCAAACAAGAGGGAGTTTTGGCTCAGTTGTGTGCCTGGCCAGCCTTTTTTTCTTTCTTTCTTTTTTCTGTGTGTGTGTAGATGTCTTTGTCTTGCTGGAGAAAGAAATTCTCAAGCAGCAAAAATTGTCTGTTCGTATTTTGCAACTGAAACACATGGTACAGCATGATGCCATGTTAAAGATGGAGCTGATCAGTGAGATTAGCTTCCGTTACTCACTGGCAATGGTATGGCTTTCATTATTTTCACAACAAATACAAAACTCAGCAGCCTTTGGGATACGGCACATAATTTAGGTCCATTTCCTATTGAAGCACCCCAAGATATCTAAGTAAGTTGGAAGATGAGTTTGAACTATAACACAGTTTTATTCTTTGTTTCTGGACAAAGGGCTGAAGTGATGAAACATTTGCATCTGTTTTAAACTTGGCTTATTTTTATTGCTTTTTTTTTTTTTAATCCCACTACATTATTTTTCTGACGGTTACACCCTGAAAAAACAGGTTGTCAGTGCAAGCAGGGTTTTCTCAGAAGGTACCCACAAGAAGCAATTAGATGTGTGAGCAAAGGCAGTCAGCACATGGGATCCTCCCCAGCAAAACAGGCTCAGCGCTGAAGGCTTGTCTGCATGGCATGTTTCTTCTTTCATCAAACACCAGCAAAATGCCAGGAACATTCCTGGACAGGAGAAATCTTGAATTCTGCAATTCAGCCTTAAAGAAACACTCCTCTGGGGATCTGCCCGACTGCCTGACGGAAAAGAGTGACTCCTGTAAGCAGATCTGCCTTCGAAGACTGACCTATTTCAGCCCAGCTCTGCAGAGCGCACAAGCTCTATTTATGATGCTGCAGGAAGGGAAAGGCAGGATGCAAGCAATGCACCTTGTTCTGCTGGGAAAGAGCCGGCAGCCCCAGCTCCAGCAGTGGAGCCCCGCATCAGGAGATGGTGGGACCTGGCTCCTGTTTGGGCAATTAAATGAGTAACATCATCACATCTGACTGAACCTCAGGCATGTAGACCTGGCTACTTACTCTTGCTGCAGAAGCATTTATATTGACACAGATTCAGGAAGATGCTGGGCAGCAGAATCAGGGAAACAATTGTTTTATAAGCAGACTGATGCCTTCGTACAGCACAATAGTGTGATCTGCAAAGGATCTACAATGCATAACAGGATTGTAATCCACAGCAAAGTCACATCTTGGGAATTTTATTCGTCCTCATTTCTATTAAAGTGTCTTTTTACAGGGAGAAATAACTTCTTTTTGTTATGCTGTATTGCTCTTGAAGCTTAACCTTCCTCTTGCTGGGCTCTATAAATCATGGATTTTCTTATAAACAGACTACAGATCCGCTCACATCTTTGTATTATTTGGCTTCTTCATTTCAGAAACAGTATGGGCCAAATTCTTCCTTGGCATAGCTCTATTCCCAGCATTCTTATTTTGAGGATGCTGGGCCAGATTCCTGATCTCTCTGCTTTGTCAATGGGCACTCAGATCCCTGCTGCTGCGACCACTGCTGCCATATATCAGTAACACCACTCTGCTGCTGGGCAGAACATAGCCCTCTGCTTAAACAGCACTTTGATCAAGTGAAATAAGGAAAATATTGCTGAATGGAGCCTTCAGCAAATTACTTGTTCTGCTGAAAGATCATCCACTCTTGGCTTAGCTTATTTCAAGCATGACAGTCCAGGAAAAAGAGTGTACCTGTGAGTGAAATAAGACTCAGTGGGAGTCAGTAAGACCCAAAGTATTGCGGTATTAATAAATGTATATTTGTGCTGAAGCATGCTAAACCTCAAAGGCTGGATATAAATATCAATGTCTATTGAATTTCAGGAAGAGATGGCTGGTGGAAAGCATGCCCGATGCCGTTCTGCAATGTGCAACCCTGTTTACACAGGGACTATTCATAGGCACGTTCTGCTGCTGGGCAGGGAATTTGCTTCTTCACAGCCAGCTCATGCAAAGCAAATTTTCCCATATAGTTCTCAGGCAGGAGATTTAGTTTCCCTTTAAGTAAAGCAGCAGCGCTGTGCTGCAAGTGATGGGCCAGCTGAAGGTGCAGACAAGGAGCTGCCCAAAACCTACCAAAGGACAAAAGAAGCTTCATAAAGGCAGAGGTTGAAATGGCACTGATGTCTCCTTCATCAAACACAGGCTGCACTTCTTTCATCAGAAAATGTGCCACAGTTGGAATCTGGCAAAATGAATTCTAAGCACGTCCCTTCTGCCAGTTTTCCTTCTGCCCACTGGGACAATGGAGAGATGACACTGTTCAGAAATAAACCCACAGCATGGATTTGTGATTCTGTCAGATTGGGTTCTCCTTTCTCACTCCTGGAATTGCTCTGGAGGTCTTCAGGCTTTATGAAGCTGTAATGGACAAGGAGAGGGCAGGGGAATTAAAGCCCACCTGCCTCTTGCTATCCCCTTTCAGGGCTTTTTGCTTCCAGGAGCAAGTGAGATCCATTCATGAAAGGTGTTGAATGGCAAAAATAAAAGTCCAGAAAGAGCAGTTATCTTAGGAGTTATGAAGAACAGTGCCTACTACTTGATAAGCTGCAGAGAAAGTAAAGCCAGAAAATGCCTAAATTGAGAACAAAGCTGATGTGACAACTGAGTGCCGGAGAATGGCACCAATGGGAAGAGCTCAGCACAGCATACCTGGAGTTATCTGAGTGACTGAGGGAGATAAATTATGTTCTGCTCACCCAGAAAGGCAGTGTGATAGTTCTGGGGTGATCTCATTTTCTTCTGCTATCAATGCTTTCCTGCCGTTCGTGCTGGCTTGATTAGTCAAGGCAGGATCTCTTAGGAGAGGTAAAAGGCCTGGTGGGATGTTGTCCATCTAATTAGCTGCCACTCTCATTAGCTCAGGGAAAAAGCTGCGTGCCCCCCACCTCCCCCTCCTACCCCAGCACCTGGGTTACATCCATCCATGAAAGCTATCAAACGAGGAGAATGATTCTTGCTGTGGGTAACCGAGGCATGGGCATGGCCTGTGCTGAAACCTGGTGCCTGTGTTTGCTTGGACAGATGCAAAGGACAGCTGGAACTTGTCACTGATCACTGCAGAACTGCCAGGGGCACTGCACCTGGAGACAGGCATCGGGGTGCAAAGCTCATGCTCGGACCTGAGCACAGCCACAGTGCAGCAAGAGGCTGGATGTAGTGCAGCTGCACTGTGACAAAACAGATTCATTGAATGGCTTTTGTCCAAACGTGCTTGTACCATGCAGGTATTATGCACATGTGGCAGGCTTGCAACTTTCCCACTCAAATTGTTGCAGAAGTGCTAACACTTGGCTCAGCACTTTTCAGGAGGATGACAGGAGCATGTGCTGTGGGTTCCTTGCACTGCTGAAGGCTCAGGCAAATAAGCAGTATGCTAAGAGCTATTCACAGCTGCTGGCTGAAGCTAGCTCGATGTTCATGGTGAGCTGAGAAGCAGAGTATCCTGAGAAGCAGTGAGATATGCGTGAGCTATTGCATAACTATACATACAGAAAAAAAAATCTATGGATAGTTGTCATTCTTTGCACTTTTATTAATGTCTCTTGCCAGTGAAGATCCTGAAGACTTGCAACCTAGAGTGGCTAGAGGCTCTTCCCTTAGAGTATTAAGGAAAAAAAGAGAAAACCAGGAGACCCTGCAGAGGTGAGATCAGATGACACCACAGCCAAAACTGCTTCACAGTGAGAGGGATCACAGCAACGTACCTGAATGAGAGGCTCCAGCTGGAGTACTGCATCCAGGTCCAGGGCCCCCAGCATCAGAAAGACATGGAGTTTTTGGAGACAGTCCAGAGGAGGGCCATGAAGATTATCAGTAGGCTGGAGGAACTGGCCTTGTTAAGCCTGGAAAAGAGAAGGCTTTGGGGAGACCTTATTACAGCCTTCCAATATTTAAAGGGAGATTATAAACAGGAAGGAAACCAACTTTTTACACCTGTAAATAGTGATAGGGAAGATATAGGTTGGATATGAGGAGGAAGTTCTTTACCAAGAGGGTGGTGAGGTGCTGGAACAGGCTGCCCAGAGAGGTTGTGGATGCCCCATCCCTGGAGGTGTTCAAGGCCGGGTTGGATGGGGCCCTGGGCAGCCTGGTCTAGTATTAGATATGGAGGTTGGTGGCCCTGCATGCGGCAGGGGGGTTGAAGCTTCATGTTCCTTGAGGTCCCTTCCAACCCAAGCCATTCTATGGTTCCATGATTCTATCATTTATTTGGATGTCAGGGGGAGGTTTATCATCGAGAGAGCGGTGAGGTGCTGGAACAGACTGCCCAGAGGTGGTGGATGCCCCATCATCCCTGGAGGTGTTCATGGCCAGGCTGGATGGGGCCCTGGGCAATCTCATCTGGTACTTGATCTAGAGGTTGGCAACCTTGCCTATGGCAGGGAGGTTGGAACTTGGTGATCTTTGGGGTCCCTTCCAACTCAATTCATTCTGTGATTCTATCAAAGAGCCAGGCATTTTGAACCAATGGCTTGGCAGTGTGTTCCGAGCTCTAATCAGCCCATAGCCAGTGGCTGGGCAACAGGAGGCCCGCAGATGGTGGCTGGGGCCAGGCAAGTGCAAGGATTTTGGTTTCTGGCTGGCAGGAGTGGGACTGCAGAGGAAAAACAGCGATATTGAAACGCCACCCGGGCAGGAGGTGCTGGGAAGGTGACACCAGCAGCCAGGGCAGTGAAATGGAGCAGAGTCAGAGAGATGCATCAGCTTTGGGCACCCAGAAACAAAAGGCTGTTTCATGAGGATGATGCCCTGGGAATTCTGCTGCTGGGGGAGGAGGGCAGAAATCAAAGAGAGGGCAAAACCTACGGTGGTTGTGTATCAGCGGACAGGGTGACTCTGAAAGCTGCCAGTCCTCTCAGCCTGGATGAATGGCTTCTATTTACGTGGATCCCTATGCAGAAAAACATTGTGATCATGATCTAAGCGGCCTCGCAGACGTTTTGGCGCCTGGGCTGGCTCCTTCCTCCCACTCCAACAAGCATGGCAAAGCTGGCCAGCCCTGCACTGCGCACCCTGCACCATGCCCCAGCTCAGTGTCTCCCAGCACCATCCCAGTACTCAAAGGGAGGATGAGCAGGCAACATCCCTGCTGCCCTGCCCACGTTTTGCTCTGCTTTCAGCAGAGCCAGCACGGCCTCGGCCACGGCCCTAAGCCCAACATGTGCCGCAGCGTTCAGCCAGCTGAGTCATGAGTTAATCCAGCAGTTCCCATTCAAAGGCTGCTGCCTTTGCCCTAGCTGAAAATGCATTTGTTATTTTGGTTCTCACTCCTCCATGTGAAGGTTCAGGTGGCAACCTGCTGTTCATTGCATGTCATAGGTTGTGCATGGCACGCCAACAAAACGAGATGCTGAGATACTGGCTGCTGGCACAGGGTGGCCACACCGTACAGGCCCCAGCACTAGGTGAGCTGGTGAGCCTGTGAGCTGCTGAGTGAGATGGATCTGGGCACAAAGTGAGCAACCTGACTCGCTGGATTAGGAATATATTCCAGAGGTAGCAATCAGTGAGTGGGATGGATGGCCTTGTTCATTCACCCTACAGAGTGGCTGGACAGAACGTTCCCTGTCATTGTCCATCTTGGTGGGGTCACAGGATAAACCCTCGCATCATACCCAGCTGTGCAGGGAACACAACGGGCCCCGCAGAGGATCGCAGACCTGCCACCGGCTTCTCCCCCTCTCCCGCGCGCACCTCAGCTCCCTCGGGGCTGCACGTGCCGGCTCCGCGCCCTTCGGCCCTTCGCCCCTTCGCCCCTTCGCCCCTCACCCCATTCATTCTCCACCCACCACATTCGCGCGCCCGCCCTGCGTCACCGCTTTTCCACCCAGCAACACGGTGACGTCACAGCCGGGGGCCAATGGAGAGGCGCGGGGCGGGGCCGGGCGCGGGCGCGCGGCGCTGGCGCAGTCCCGGCAGGGCGCTGCGGTTTTCGCGCTGCTGCGCGTGGGCAGCGCGGGTTTGGCTGACCGTGCTGCGCTGCGGAGCGCTTTGCTTCGCCGTTTCGTGTGCATCATTCGTGCTCTGATTGTGCACAGCCGAAGTAGCTCCGCTTTGCGTATTTGTTATTTCCATTACAAAGCGTGAACTTCAGTGACTGCCTTTTCAAGCCTCCTTTTTTCTTTTTTTTTTTTTCCTTGCAAGTGCAGCTTGGTCAGATCTTGGTGTAGGACATAAATTCATCTTCCCAGCTCATGAGTCAGAGAGTCATAGAATCAGAGAGTGGCTTGGGTTGGAAGGGACTCAAAGATCATGAATCTCCAACCCCCCAGTTGCATACAGGGCCACCAACCTCCACGTTTAATACCAGACCAGGCTGCCCAGGGCCGCATCCAACCCGGCCTTGAACACCTCCAGGGACGGGGCATCAACAACCTCTCTGGGCAGCCTATTCCAGCACCTCACCACTGTCTTGGTAAATCTTCCTGATATCCAACCTAAATCTTCCCCCCTTCAACTTAAACCCGTTTCTCCTTGTCCTGCTGTCATCTACTCTTGCAAAGAGTTGATTCCCGTCCTGTTTTAGGCTCCCTCTAGGTACTGGAAGGCTGCAATGATGTCAGCCTGCAGCCTTCTTTTCTCCAGGCTGAACAAGCCCAGCTCCTTCAGCCTGTCTTCATAGGGAAGGTGCTCCAGCCCCCTGATCATCTTTATAGCCCTCCTCTGGACCCTTTCCAACAGCTCCGTCTTTCTCAGGACCCCAGATCTGGACCCAGTACTGCAGATGGGGCCTCACAAGGGCAGAGTAGAGAAGGACAATCACTTCCCTATCCCTACAGGCTACCCTTCTTCTGATGGAGCCCAGGATACCATTTGCTTTCCAAGTTGCCTTTCCCCTTATCTCTTTAACAGTGACATGGGAACTGGAGGTAACCAACTGTGTGTCATTGGCATGGCTCAGAGCTGAGCTTCCTGCAGTGCTGTGCTCTAGAACCATTGGGTTCAATGGTACTGTTGGGTGGTGCTGCAAGCACTGCCCTGCCAGCAGGACTCACAGTGGAGGTGCTCCTTAGCTAAGGGCATTGCACAGGATGTCCTGTTGACACTGCATGACCATAATTTAAAAGTTATTTACAGAATCTGTGACTGTTGGTACTTTTATAACAGCCACTGTAACAGGAAACCATTTTTTATTTATATTTTTGCTGTGGTGTCACAAGGGAAACAGGTCCTTGATCTCATTTGAAATGTCTGCAAAAAAATCAGATGTTCTGATGCTGCTTTTATCAAACATGAGTAACAGGCAGTGCTTTGCTGTGGTCTCCTCTGGTAAGCGCTGAGCCCCTTCTGCTGCAACTCCAGAGGTGTGGAGGGTGGTGAGGGACACAGATGGGCTCACAAAGTATTCAGAAGGAACTGCAGTACAAATACGTATTGCCCACATGTTCACCAGAGAAGAATGAGATAGGAAAAGAAAGAAAAGCAACTTCAAAGCTGAATTGTAAAAGCTTGGGTTTTCTTTCTAAACCAAACTGCCTCTTTCATGCTCACTTTTTGCCCTCTGTTTCAAAACACAACTGGACTGGGACCCCCAATTGGGCATTTCAAGTCAGTCTCCTTTCCGTGTCCTGTTAGTACTCCTTGGGCTCAATTCCTTGCTGATTCTGGCTTCAGTATGCACTAGGAAGCAATTAGGGAATAAATCTTTCCTTCTGTGCAGTTTGGTGTGTGTTTTTGTTGTGCCATGAGTATCTCTTTGGCAGTGTTAGGCACCCTCTGTGAGGCGCAGAGCAGAGGTGTGCTGGGAGCACAGGTAGCCCTGGCTGCCTTTGGAGTGAGCTGGAGGGACTGACCTGTCCAAAGGGTAAATCTGCCCGTGGGAAAGCTGAAGGACCTCTAGGAACTTTCCATAATCATCATGGAATGGAGACTTCCCATGGCTCCAGCCGTGCTCTGATGCCCAGCATAGAAGAAATTGCAGGGACTCCCCAGTGCTCTGGGCAGATCAGTCCCTAGTGCTCAATAAACAGATACTTAAAATCACAGAATCATAGAATCATAAAGGTTGGAGAAGCCTGCTAAAATCATTTAGTCCAAGTGTCTACTCTTCACCACTGTGCCCACTAAACCATGTCCCTGCATGCCACATTCTTGAAAACGTAGGACAGTGACTTCAGCACTGGGCAGTGCGGGCAATGCGGGAAACCCTCTGCCCTCCAGCCCTCATGAATCCCATCTCCAGTTCACCCTATGGCCTCCATGCAGCTGGTGCTCTGACTATTGCAACTGCAGAGACTGATGGGCTGGGGTCAGTGTAAAGTCCAGAATTTGCTTCAAATATATATCAGTAGACCACAAAAAAGAAGGAAAAAAACACCAGATTGAATATAAAAGAAGCAAGAGCAATATAGAAAAATAAGGGTGATATTTTAGTTTGAAACGTCATTAGAAACAGTACTTTGGCCTGAAGGTGACCAGATTGTGCTCTTGCAGCACATAAGATCCTGTTGAACTATTCACATCCTATTAATGCCATAGGGCCACAAACGCAAATGGAGACATATGCTTTTACATGCTTTTCATACCTTGAGATTTCTCTGCCTGTCTCCTTGCTGTGTTTCCAGGATGCCATGCTGTAACCTGGGGTGCCCCTGTTGCTGTCTTCCTTTGCTGCCAGGGTGGACACGTGGCTGCACTGATGTTGACCTGACCCAACAGGAGACAGAGCCCTAGGCAGAAGAGCATCACTTGCCATGTCTATCTCAGCTAATTTGAGTGAAATTCATGTATATTGTTGAACCTAATCCCTTAGTTTTGCTCCAACCTGCAAAAATTCCTATGAAGCTTGAGGTGCAGCTGAAACCTGACTTTCAGAAGTGACAAGTGCCAGCAAGTTCTGCTGCTGCTTGCTGAATTTGGGAGTGCTGGATGTTTAGGAAGTGATGCTATGTGCAGGCAGAGAAGTAGGAACCGTGTCACCAGGCTTTGGTGCCTGGTGTAGCCGATTGCATCTGGTTGTAGCTAGGTGCTACAATCCAGCTGCCCGTTTCTCCGGCCCTCTCCAAAGCCAGGAGCCCTCGGCAGACAGTTTATCCCATCTGTGTCAGACATTGAGTGGAGCAAGGCACCATTTCTCTGTGTCAGCATGAGAGGGCTCATGGCACATCTTGCAGTGCTCCTCCCTGTCACCACTCGTGGAAGGATGTAATGGGGCTCTCGGGAAGGTGCTTGGCTTTCAGCAAGGCCCCAAAAGAGAAGGGAGAGCAACGCTGTGAGGCTGGGATTTTGGCAAGCCAGATTGCAGACCTGGGAAACTGAGCTGACTTTGTGCTGATGTGGAAACAAAATCTGCTCTGTTTTTCTTATCTGCGGCACTGCGAGTGATTGCACAGGCTGTTCTCTGCCTGCCCTCGTGGAGCAGATGCAAAGTCTCCATTTTCTGCTCACCTTACAGGAGGGCTAAAGATAAACATCTGCAGTTTCCTGGGCTGAAAGTGCTAAGAGCGAATGCCACCCCTGCCCAGCTTTTCAGATGGTTGACTAAGCACTTTAAAGGTCCAAGTTATATTTGGAAATGAAAAGATCTTTGTCCCAAACAGAAAATGGCTTATGCGCTGTTGAGACTCACAGTCACTAAAAGCAAGCACATCTGCTGATGCAACCTAATTGCTGTTTTGATTGTCCAGCCATGACGGGGCACAAAAATATTGTCTGCCTACAAAAAAAGAATGAAACCTCACTTGGCCATTTTCTGCCCAAATACCTTGGCATCCAGCCTTGCAGGGCTGGAGTTGGGCAAGCTGAATTCAAAAATTCCCCAGTGGAACCAGCCCTTAACAATACAAAGCTGTGCCTGTTTGCCTGGGTGGACTATTTTCATGACTCTGAATAAAAGCCATGTCTGGAGCACTGCACGTTTCTGTGGGGGCTATGCAGCGAGGCGGGCACACTGCCCTGTGCCTGGGAGTTTTCCAGTGGAGAGAGGCATAATCAAGGACATAAGCTACTAGAAAACATCCAAAGGAGGGCTACAAAGATGGTGAAGGATCTGTAGGACAAGGCATATGAGGGGCGGCTGAGGTCTGTGGTGTGCTCAGCCCAGAGCAGAGCAGGCTGAGGGGAGGCGTGATGGCGGCTGCAGCTCCTCACAGGGAGCGGAGGGCAGCGCTGAGCTCTGCTCTGTGTGACAGCGACAGGGCTCTGAAGCAATATGATGGTGTTGAAGCTGATCTCAAATTAGCAGAGACTTTGTCTGCTTACTGAGGAGATTTTGAATCCATCTCATGAAGGTCCAGCATTGCTAACTATGGGAAAAGGGAGAATGATCTTTTTGAGCAGAGATATTGATCAGAAGGACTTGTCTTTCCCTTGACTCAGACCAAAACCAGATGTTGTACCTCTTATTCATCAGTATGAGTTTTTACCAACTTCTATCAGTATGACAACACCTAATGTCCTGGCGTCTTCCTCTCTCTGTTTCTGGGTCCAGAGGAGGGCCACAAAGATGCTCAGAGAGCTGGAGTAACTCTCCTACAAAGGCAGGCTGAGGGAACTGGGCTTGTTCAGTCTGGAGAAGAGAAAGCTGCAGGGAGACCTTATTGCAGCCTTCTACTGCTTGAAGGGAGCTTATAAATAGGAGAGGAAGTGACTTTTTGTGGTCTGATAGTGATAGGGTAAGAGGGAAGGGCTTTAAACTAGGGGGAGAGATGTAGGTTAGATGTTAGAGGAAAATCACTACTCAAAGGGTGGCGAGGCCCTGGCACAGCTGCCCAGAGAAGCTGTGTATGCCACATCCCTGGAGGCATTTGAGGCCAGGTGGGATGGGGCCCTGGGCAGCCTGAGCTGGTGGGGGCCAACCAGTCCGTGGCAGGGGGTTGGGGCTGGGTGATCTTTAAGGTCCCTCCACCCG